GGGGATTGTCCCTCTCTGCTCTGCCCTCATGAAGTCCCATCTGGAGTACTGTGTCCAGGCCTGGGGCCCCCAAAATCAGAGAGACAGAGCTGCTGGAGCAGGTCCGCTGGAGGGCCACAGAGATCTCAGAGGGCTGGAACACCTCTCCTGTGAAAAAAGGCTGAGGGAGCTGGGATTGTTCAGCTTAGAGAAGAAAAGACTCCGGGGAGACCTCATTGCGGTCTTCTGATACTTAAGGGGAGGTTATAAACAGCAGAGGCTTTTCACACACTCTGATAGTGATAGGATGAGGGGGAATGGTTTTAAACTAAGGGAGGGCAGTTCAGATTAGATACCAGGAGGAAATTCGTTATGCAGAGGGCAGTGAGGCCCTGGCACCCAGAGCTGTGGGTCCCATCCCTGGAGGCACCCAGAGCTGGGCTGGGTGGGCCCTGGGCAGCCTGAGCCGGGGGGCAGCCAGCCTGTAACGAGGGGCTCTAATTGGATGATCTTTAAGGCCCCTTCCAACAGGAGCCATTCTATGATTCTATGATTCTATCAGCTGCTGGGACTTTTGCACTCTGAAACAAAGAGTACTTCTTTATCAAGTACAGATTAACTCTGTTCTGACAGCCTGCGTAGTGTTAATTGACATACGTAAAATAATGCTTAAAATAACTCCTACATGCTGAATTCTAAGGGATTCGGTGCTACTGTAGTTGAAGTGGTACATGTGTGAACCTTGTCAGGAACAGAAGGGAAGAGGGTTTTTTACACCGATAAAACTGATGCAACTGTGAGATAGTTTTACAAGGTATTTTAACTTTTACCACTTGGCTGCTGCTGTTTCAGCTGCCCTGCATCACTTGAATTCTTTTGGGATTTGAATGAAACCTCAGCCCTTCAGAGAAATTCAGTTCTGCTCAGACCAAAGCAAAGCACTTATCAGGTATTAGTCTGAAGGGTATTTCTGTTTTATGAGCTATATTTACACACTTAGCAGGTCACTTTCTGTTGCAATTTACATTTAAGTGCACTGGAAGCTTATTCCTTTGTGTGCTATTTAATTTAAGAGGATTTTCTTCTATTTCTCTTAATTTAGGACAGTGCTCTAATGGTGCTAAAATTAATTCTACTAATAGTTCTGGTAATTCGGTGGATATTACTAACTTCCATTCACTTGGTTCCTTTCAACCAAATTCATTCCAGTGCTTTTAAAACCTTTTACTTACTATGAAAATCAGATATGATGTATCTGAAAATGATCTGAAAATGTATCTGCCTTCCTCTGAAATGCAGCTACTTTTCAAATAAAATATACTGACTGCTTCTAATATTTGCGTGAAGGAGGTGTGTGATCTTTATTTAACCTGTGTATATAATCAACAAGGGCCTGATATTATTTCTCTCTGCCTTTGAAGTAAAAAAATCAGCATCTAACAGAAGTCTATCTACTAGCCACAGCATGTGTGTGTGTGTGTACACAGGTACACGTGCACACATCTCCCAGTTGTCATGTGCAGCCTTTGGCATCAGCAGTACTGTGCATGCAAAACCTGGGTGCCTGAAAACTGGCGTCTGCCCGCCTTCACAATAACAATAGCAAGTATGCAATTCAGGAGGTGCCTCTGAAAATGCTTCCCAAAATATAATTGCTATTTCCAGCCTTGGAAGTTGCAGGATCCAGAAATACAACAGGCCACTTATATAACTCACCTTACTGTTGTGAGTCAAGCAGCACAGGGCAGATGTTTTTTAGGGTGCTTCAGGGTGTTTTATTTGGTAATGTGTTACTTGATAAAGAAATGATTAGGCTAATTGAGGGAAAAGCTAGAAAGAAATAGGTTAAAGAGGTCTTAAAGTACAGCTTAAAATAATTAAATCTGGCAGTCTTTATTTAGCAGAGACAAAAATAAACATCAAGTTAGCAAACAAAGGACAGTAAAAGGAAACAAAGGGTATAAGTGGTGCAGCAAAAAAACCACTCATGTACACTATAGTTTGTAATATCTAAATTACAAATGGGGGGAAAATGTACACGTGTACATATGGACAAAAATATATACATTGTCTGGTTGTTTTTTTTTTGTCATAACAACTATCACTAAGTGAAAATTTTTGCTAGGTAGATGGATATAAATCATCTTTACTTTGACTTACAGGCTTGATTTAAAGATGAAGAATCCCCACTTCCATTTATTTTTGTCCCTCTTCTCTCCAGAATAGTGGGAAAATCTGTTAATACTATTATCAGGTACGGTTGTGCTCCCAAACTGCACATCATCAGCCTCATAATACCTAGGTTTTCTCTGGCATCTCCATTCTGTATGAGTATTTGTTATGCTTATTATTTGTTATTGTATTTAGTGCTACACAGCCCTGTTGTGGATCAGAGTAAACACAAATGATTCCTGCCCTGAAGTGCTTTACAGCCAAAGAAAAGGGAGAAAAGAGGAATACGGACAGGAGAGGCAGCACAAGGAATTGTGACTCTGTGCATTAGACATTACAAGAAAGAGAAGTTTTCAGTAATGTTTTGAAGACAAATGATCAGTAACTTTGTGGCTGTTTGGAGGATCCCTGGAAATCAAAGGCGGCCAAAAGAACATGCAGAGGCAGATGTTTAAACGTGTTACAGGTGGGCTGTGAAAACTGGCATCATGAGCCGAAGGGAGCTGCAGTGAGACCTCAGAAGCGAATGGAGATGGCAAGCAAGGTGAAGGCTATCAGGCCTTTCAAACTAAAAACACCTTAGTAAGAATCAACATGATAGAGTAGGCTGAGCCAGTGGAGAGAGGAAAAGAGAAATAATTTGGTAAAAATGACAGACTAAGAAAAATGGCCTTTGTAGCTGCATTCTCAGTGGGTATGAGCAAGACAAGGTTATATTTTCCAAGGCCAAAGGAAATGATATTGCAGCAACCGAGATTTGAGAAGATGGGAATTTTAGCTATATGGACAGATTTTGACATAGTCTAAAATAGAAAGGACTACAAAAAGGTCTGAGTCAAAGATGATTACATACAGGCAGATAATAGTGTAATAGATTGAATTCTTGTGGAAGAAGACACAGCACTATTTAACTATGCTGAGCTTAAAATGACATTAGAGTTCTCAATTAACCAGTTCTTATCCAGATGGTCCAGGGATTGGGTGGAGGTTGGAGTACTTGCATGCTGTCTGGGCTGATTATGACCAGGCACCATATGCTGCAATACATGAGGAACAGGCTCAGAATTGCAGAGACAGCCAAGAAGTGTCCCAAAAATTAAATAACGTATGCTCCTGCAGATCCACATAGCCATCGGGTGAATCACTGGTCAGATTCAGCTCACACCTTACAAGCATCTGACCATGTGGACGTGGGACTTGTGAGGCCCTCATGGCTGCATCCAGTAGGTGAAATTGCCACTTTAACATGGTAATAGTGACCCAAACCAAGAGTTTAGCACACCAGTGTGCATTAAAGAGGCAGAACTGAGCAGAAATTGTTGTTTGCACTGTGGCTGTGGCACGTGTTGTCTGGGGATAAAAGATAGACAAGAGAAACAATCCACAAGGAAAGGCCTGGTTACCACCTCCTGAAAGTTGGAAGGCATGAAAGAAGGCTTTCAGAAATGTGTTTGTAGATGGGTTACAAACGGAAGAGCGGGGAAGGAGGAAAACAGTGTCATGGGGCAAGGGTAGGGAATATTTGATCTGACAGATTAATGCGGAGCAATGGATGCAATCACTGAAGGCCACATGGGCACAAGGCTGCAGCAAGGATGGAACCAGTCTGGAAACAAACTGGGACACAAAATTGGGTTCCAGGAGTCAGCATTGAGTAATGCAAAAACAAACTTTTTATAGTGTCAGAGAAAAACTTTAAAATGTGACCTGAAGGAAACCCTGAAAGAATGATCCAATAAGGATCTGCAAGCACACACTTGCATTTATCTGGACAATCAGATGTGTACCTATATATATGCATATATATATGTTCCTTACTATGAGAGTGCTGAGGTGCTGGAACAGCTGCCCAGAGAGGCTGTGATGCCCCGTCCATCCCTGGAGGTGTTCAAGGCCAGGTTGGATGGGGCCCTGGGCAGCCTGGGCTGCTGTGAAATGTGGAGGTTGGTGGCCCTGCCTGTGGCTGGGGGGTTGGAGCTTCATCATCCTTGAGGTCCCTTCCAACCCAGGCCATTCTGTGATTCTCTGATCTGCAAGCAATACATTGATTTAGGAATCAACCAAAGCAAAGCTTAAACATCACATCAGTGAATTTTGTATTTTTTTCTTAAAAGGGTGAGGTCGGGATATCCTAGAGGAGAGCAGGCAGGACTGCCTGCACAAAGGCGAGGAGTCCTTCTCCTTCCGCCCACTGCTCGCTCCTGCTTGTCACAGCTCGCAGTTCCGCACTGCAGCCAGCAGGCCGGTGTGACGGCTGTGCCCGTGACCGCCAACAGCCGCCCATCCACCCCGCCGTCGCCTCCACACAGGACGCGTTCCCCGCCAGCCCCGCAGAGCGCGGCCTCAGCCGACACTTGCCAGCCACCGCCCCCCTCTCGCGAGCGCCGCCCTCCGCGACTACATCTCCCGGCAGCCCCCACGGCTCCCCAAGACCTACATCTCCCGGCAGCACCCGCGCGGCAGCATGGCCCTGCCCGGCGGGGCGGGCTCGCGGTGGGCGGGCCGCGCTGTCCGCCGCACTCGGGCCCGCGACGGCGACGGCGGCCGCGCCGCGGTGAGTCGGTGGGTTGTGCGCTGGGCAGCGCGGCGACCAAGGCCGGGCCCGTGCCGGCCTCGCGTTCCCAGCCCCTCCGGTGCCGGCCCCTCGCCGCCCCGCCTCCCTCGGTGCCCGCTTGCAGGGGCTCGGCTCGGCCTTCTCCGGCCCGCCGCCTTCCCGCAGGGCTCGGCCCGCCTCGCCTCCTCTTTCAGGGCTCACCTGTGGCCTCACGCGGCTCCCCGCGGCCCGGCGCTGTGACTTAGCTCTGAGGTACATTTGAACCGCAACCGTCGTCTTTGTCGCGATATGAGAACGTGCCGAGTGCCCCGTGTGCGGTCGCAGACTCGTGAGCCGCTCTGCGATCTGTTTATGACTGACTGAAGGATTGTTCTGGCGCGTGTGGCTTCCAGTGCACAGCGAGTGTTGCCAGCTGGTTCAGAGTAAGGAATGGCTCCGGAGATGACGGGTTGCTTTTGCTTGCTGATCTGCGTGCTGCAGGAGGAAGTCAGAGAAATATACCTGTGTGTGTATTGGAGGTGCTCGTGTCACTGAGGTGGCAGGAAAGGTCTCACCTGTTTTTTGTACAGAAAGCCGAAAGCCACCGTTTTCTTGAGCCTGCGTAGGGTAATGTGAAGCAACTGCTGAGATCGTATCGGTGTTGAGAGCTATTCAGTGGTTGTTCTCTAGAGCGAATATTGGCCTCTCTTGAGAAACACTAATCAGGACTGCATATGTTTAAAAAGCACCGTGGACGTCCCGCATGGTTCCTGTCTTGGGGCAGTGCTGTGCTCGTGGCTCACTAGCAGTCATGCGTTTGTCTAACAAGATTTGAAGGGGGCTAATCTCATGGTTTTGTACATTATCACTGTACAAATCTCTATCCTGGTAGCATTCTTTGTGGTTAAAAAGAGGTTCAGATGTACAATTACTAACAAAGCTAGCAAGTGCATCAAGCTTAAAAGCACTTTCGGGGCTGTATGTAGTTTCATTGTGTGGCAGAAATCACAAGAGATGAGATGAAGAGATGCTTTTAATGAAGGGCAGAGTTTTCCCTTTTTTCACTGTTTATCTTTCTGTGCTTGGTCAGCAATTGCTGCTCTTGGAAGCTTCATTTGGAAGGCAGGGGCTGTAACATCACCATGCTTGAGCAAGCTAGTGCTAAAGTATTCCTGATCCACAGAGTTACGGTGTTGACCAGACTAGTATTAACATAGAATGCAAGGCTGGTTTCATGAGAGCTAACTGTAAATCTTTAACAGTCTGGGTGCTCCTTTAAAGGAGACAACATTGATTTCTGCTAAGAACTTGAATTGTGTAGAAATAAGTTTTACTTCATAGTTTGTTTCTTCTGATTCCCCCTAATTCTACATCACCTTTCGTGTGAAATTCTTTCCAGAATGTATTTGGGAAAAGAAACAAATGCCAGTATTCATTGGAAACAGATGACAGAGGAAATGCTTAAGAGTGTGCAATAAGATGCTCAAAAATGTCTAGTGAACATAAGGTTGGTTAAAAGTCTTTGTTGTATTTACCCATTAGAGGCATTTCAGAGCTGTCTATCTTAAAGATTCAGAAGCTCTTCTCAGTTCCAACAACTTGATGCCAAACTTGCTGACACAAGAGAAAACTGAAAAAGCACTAGAACTGTTTGTTTGCTTTCTCCAGAATGTTTTAGTGGCAGCTGTTCTGGCTTTGTTGGTTTGTTTTTTTTTTTCCTTTCTGACGTTATTTTAAAAGCAGTGTCAGATGGAGTACTCTGCCAGCTCTAACAGTGCCTTCATACCTGTCGCATTCCTGTCAAGGGCCAGCTGCAGCACAAAGTCAAATGTTTGAAAGTTGAAGGATGACTGCTGTGTTGCCCTTTCATCCCACACTGAGGCAAGCGCCTCTGTTTTCTACAACTGAAATGACTTACTAAACATGGAAGCTTCTGGGAAACTAAAAGCAAAAGTGTTTGCAAGAAGAGCAGGTTACACTTTTTGTAAGAGAGGATGTGTGCTTTTCAAAATAAATCTTTGCTGTGTGATTGCAGATGATGAATGGAAGGGTTGTATGCCAGAGGCTGTCTGCTCTGTGACTGGAACCATTAATGCTTAACATACAGAGGCAGGTGTGAAATATGAAAGTATCCATCTTTCTGTATCAGCAAAGCTCCAGCCTGCTGCTTGAAAGAGCACGCCCAAAACTGTGGTGCTGCCTGAAGGGTAATTTAGGCAGGGGCTCCCAATTTTTCCCTTTTTTGGGGGTGAGGCAAAGAACTGTTTCTGAGTGGCTTCATCCAAGGCCTTAGCCTACTTCTTTTCAAACGGGGATGAGCTCAGAGTAGCACCTTCTCTGTAGTGTTATGTGTAGTATTCAGAGAAGGAATGCATGTAGTGGAAGAGGGAACTGGGCACAGCAGGCAGAAGACAAGGACTTTGATGCGTCAGTTGTACGTGTTCTCAAAGGAAGGTTGGTTAGAATGACACCCCCTTTTCAGGCTTTCCTCCATTGTATTTTAATAGAGTGTATCAATGTACAACAGTAAAATTTTCAATTTCTCCTGTGGAATCAGAATTGTAGGGGTTGGAAGGGACCTCTAGAGATCATTGAGACCAACCCCCAGATCACCAGTTAAATCTTTAGCAGTGGAGCTATAGTGGCCCAAGGGGATATCTTTCAAGGGGAATGAGCAGAGAGCAGCTGAAGATTTCCTTAACAAAAAACTCTGAAGCTGTTTTCTATCCCATAGGCAATTCCTGTCAACTGCATCAGCTTTCGACAGTGTGGGAGGTATACATTTCCTGCAGGGGATGCAAAGTAGAGAAAATAGTTTGGGTAGGTTTAGAAAGCCGCGGATCAGCCTCCTGACATCAGTATCCTACAGATGTAATGTTGATTCTAGAGGTAATGTGACAAATGATTCCTAAAAACCATTCGCTTCTGTCCTGCCGCATAATCTATCGTGATTTAAAAGCTGCTTATTGTCCAGGGCTCGTGGATATAAGGAAAACTACTGCTTTCTCTGATATGCTCACGTAACTGAACCTCTGCTTCAGTCACCAGAATGAATATTAAGAGCAAATCAGGAAAGCAGACAAATCACAACAAATGGAAGGTGTTACCCATAGAACAAATACAGGAAAAGCAATGAACAAGAGGGGGCAAAAGTAATTGCTGGCATATCTTACGAGGAACACACCTCCAACAGACGCTAGAAACAAGCTTTAACTAATAATTCTATTTATTACAACAAAGTAGGTGCTGTTTTTCCTTGTTGCTGTGATATAAAGCATGAGAAGTATCTGACTAACAGATCAAAGTCCATCTGCAGGAAGTTACTTAGCGTCCCTTAGTGTCCCTGATGGCTTCTGCCCTACTGTATCATCTTTCTGTGAGAGAGCTTGTAATTATCCTGGCTGGCATTTTTGCCAGAAAGAAGTCAGGGTTTTCACCTTAAGCTGTGCTTTTGGTGTAATTTGAAAGGAGGAAGCGATTGGGTTGATAATTGGAAAAAGTGATGTTTTGAACTTGTGTGTGAGGTCTTGCTGAAAGTCATGAATTATTTTGAAACTAGAATGGGAGTTTAATTCCGGGAGAGGTGAAGACAATAAAGAAAGCCTTCAAATGGAGGTAAGAAAAATATCAAGACAGAATTGCAGCTTGCTTGCTTGCTTTCTCCAGCTGTTATTCAATACCTGCCTTGCTTGTGCAAGCTACATGATTTTTTTTTTTTTTAAACAAAATTTGACTTTAGGAAAATGCTAGGGCAAACTTTTTTGCCAAATGCTGCCATTTGTGTAACTAAATTGTCAGGGTGTTATTTTTTGTTTGTCCGAGGTCTTCATTCATATGTGTTCCAAACTGCCTGGTGTAGTGATGCCTATAGAACAGGAGTGTGCAGGCAGCTGGCATGCTGCTGCTTTGTCTCCAGGGTTAGTAGTCACTTGTGTCATTGACTTCTCTTCCTATGCAGCTGTTCATGCTGACTTCTTTGGGGGTAGTGGCACAATGACTTGCCCCTTGTAGGTATGGGGCATGATGGGGAACTAGAAAATGCTGTTTAGGGAGAGGAAGCATTTCCTGTTTCTTCAGAAATGTAGCACTTCACCGTGTGAACTACAGCTTGCTGTTCACTCTCTAGCAGAGAGCTGGCATCATCAGCAATGCTGGAATGCGTTTTTCTTAAAGGTGGAGCAGCCTGCTGGAGCATTTGCTTCCAGCAAACAGGTAGCTCCAGATTTCGGGCTTTTTTCCTAAGTGGTGCTTTTTTTTTTTTTTTCCTTCTGGAGAATGCAGCCATCTTTTATATTCCATTACTGATGAATTTGATTAACTGACTTAGAAACTTCCTTGCAGGAGGGCAAGCACTACTGTATGTTCTGCACACACGGTATCCCCTGAGGCTCGTACCGCTGACATGCTTTTTGTGTTCTAGTTACAGCTTGAATTGAGAATGCTTTCAAAGAGACTTGAAAGCTCAGATGCTTTCCCTAGACAATGCAGACTTACTGAGTGCTTACGGTAGGGGAAGATCACTTAGGCGCTGAGAGAGAAGAACTGCTAGTGGCACAATCCCTCTGCGATCAGTAGGATCCTAAGGAAGGGTGAAGGCTGCAGACAGTTCCTGAAAGGTTATGCTAGGAAGGATTTTACACCCCATCTCTGTGACTGCAAAGTAGAAAGAGGAGATCCTGTGGTCTGGTAATCTGTGCTGACTGCCCGGATGGAAGCATATGACTTGATGTCCAAAGGGGTTTTGTTGATGCATGGGATAAATATGATCTGCCCTTGAACTCTGACAGTAAGGAATTGTAAATGCTGTTTGAAGTGGTGTAAGAGAGCCTCTTGCTGTTGAAGTGATTCTTCTCACAGGTAGGGCAGTTTTCCTTATGCGTGTGGACCTTTCTTTCTGATTAAGTGGTGTAGCAAGTAACTGGTAGTTGTTGCTGACAAGTAATAGATGTGAACATAACTTATGGCTATTGAGTGAAACATTAGGTTGTAACATTTAATTAGTTTGTTTTGATACTGGAATGCTCTGCCTCGCGTTTTTTGTGTGTGGCTTTGTTCAGCTCTGTGGATGTCTGATACCTTGTTTTGTTTCCATTGCTGAGTTCCTTTGCACTGTGATATACCTGGCTCAGTGTGTGCACAGGAGATGCAGCTACTTCTGCAGACCTGGTTGCTTGGTTTTGGCACTTTGATCTCGCAGCGTTTCTATGGTTGGTTGGGGCTGTTTGGGCAGGGAGAGCAGGTGGCTGGCAAACTGCCTTTGTTGCTGCATAGCTTTCTTGTGACTTCTGTGTTCTTGTATTTATCTAATACTAAAGCTTTATTAACCTTCAATGAGATGAATGACTGCTGTTGACTTCATTAGATTAAATGCTCATTAATGAATGTTAAAGATGCTGATACTTATTTCAGTGACTCTGGTATGGTAACTTAGATGCTGTTGCTA